TAAACACGGCTCCTCTCTCCTCCCCACCGTAAGAGAACGAATTTTAGAATTTAGGCGAGCGAGCGAAGATTAGTTTCGTTCGTAAAGTTTATTTAAGTTGATATTTTCCTCTCGAGACGAGAACGAGTGGAATAGTAGTTTGAAAAGTCGGATCGATGGAGGGTTATTATCTAGCACGGGATCGTAATAACGACTCGCGATCGTTCGAATTTATCGTCCCTCGCCGCGGTCGATGATTAGTTGGACTCGTTCTTCTCTCCTCGCGTGATCGAGGAGGATACTCGCGACGTGAGAGTGAAGAATTCGATTTATATATAATATCGATATACAATCTTGAGGCCGCGTATTTCAACAATTCGATTTCGAGGATAATTCAATGGGAATATGGGAGATTTAATGAATTAATAGGAAACGAGGAAACGACACGGGTGATTGTTGTTTGAGAAGAAGGGGGGGTAAGATTGTTTCGCCCTTCGCGCGGGGATGAACGAGGGTCTCCTCCTTGTATGTACGTGCGTGACGTCAATATGTCCAAGGTAATAAGATGGCCGGCGATAAAGTGGTGGGTGTAGATACAAGATAACAATCGGCTGCAGTAGCTCCTGGCAATCTCGTGATTACAGGCTTAGCCTCCAGTATCTCGGTCTTTCTTAGTGCTTCGAGTGCACCCCTTTCCTTCCTTCCTTCCTTCCTTCCTTCCTTCCTTTCTGTTTTCTTCTTCTTCTCCTTTCGTCTCCTCTCGGCCAACTTTCGTCCTCGATCCAACTTTCTTCCCCGAGGTTTACGCGATATATTTCACCAGGTATGGATGATATGGATAGAGGAGTTCTCTTTTTCCTGTGTCCGGAACACGGGTCGGCACGTTCCTTCCCTTCCCTTCCTCCGTCCTCGACCATCTTCTCTCCACCGTCTTTCCGATTTTCGCACATCGAATATTACAGCCTGACGGTGCAAAAAGAGAGAAGGAGCCGCCACGACGGCGGTGTGGTAGGGCGTTTCATCTCCCTCCTCCTCCTCCTCCTCCTCCTTCTCTTCGGCCAGAGAGAGGTACCTCTTAATAATAATTTTGATCGGCAAATTGGCGTGGTGCATATTTCAGGCTTCGATCGTTATCTCGCGAAACTTTGGGCCCTTCCTGCGGTTTCGTTGCGCGACGGCGAAGCGGAGAGAAGGAGGAGAAGGAGGAGGAGGAGGAGGAGGAGGCAGAAGAGGAACCAGCCCCGAGGGGGTTCGCTTCGCGTTTTCGTCTCTCTCTATCCTTTTTTCCCCTCTCCTTCTTCCACCCCCTTCTTCTCAGAGGAATTTTCCTCTCAGCCGCGTGTCGTTTCTTCAAAGCGGATCGAAGTTTGTCGCGCGTAAAAATGCGGCGTTTCGTTCGAGAAGAAGCAACTATCGCAGTTCCCTTAAATACATTTCGATACCTGATTTCGATAACAACGAGAACTTATTTTTCAAAACTCGGCAGAGATGGTGGATTTAATATTTAAACATGCCTGGAAAAGAATTGCGAGTAATCTACGCGAGTAATTCGCACTTTGCGGCGAGAACTCGAGAAGAGAGAGAGAGAGAGAGAGATAATCGTGTCGCGTCGAACAAGTTTGGCCATCTTCGCCTATATATACAGTTGTGCCCCACGCGAGTAAATCGGAGGATCGGAGGACATCCCTAATCCAATATCCCTTTCGAAGGGGGGGAGCTTTCGATCCGTCGTCGACGAACCAACCACGAAATATACCAACCATCGCCAACTATTTTCCATCGGAGGGGAATTAGCGACTTTCGGTCAAGTTTTCGAGGAGGCCGAGAATGGTTCGTATCCGTTGGTCGATGGAAATCGTCTAAATTCGGGTCACGAATTGTTGGCTGTAAATAAAACCATTGTCTTTTCTCTCCCCTCCACCGTTGACATATTTCTTGGCACTCGCCGCATCGTTCCACGCGCGTGTCATCAATTTCTCCTCCGGTGTGTAACTACGAGGAAAAAAAAAAAAAAAAAGAAAAGGAAAAAAAGGTCGAAGCGTATCGTTGTATCTTTTCTTTGTTTTTTAATTTCTCTCCTTGTCTTGTCGTATATCATCTCTCCTCCTTTTCTCTTTCATCTTCGCTAACACGATTCCTCAACGTTGCGTTCCTTTTCTTTCTTTATTCGACGCGTTCCTTCGATCGACGTTTCCCATATCCATCGGTTACCATCGGCTCCCTTCTCTTCTCGAGTGGAAGAGACAGAATAGTTTAGCCGACTTCCGCGCGATGGCAGCACGGTTACCATCGATTCTCTCGCTGCATGCGAATACATTGTAGTATATACCTGGGACGGCGGGGTTGCTCGCGAGTAAATTTTTCGAGTAACCCCTTTGAAAAGAAGCTGCGCGCTGCTGCCACCTATCGAACGATCTTAAACGTAACGTTCGTGCGCTAAAATTCCGCATTCCATTTTCTCTCCCTTTCTCTCTCTCTCTCTATTTATTTATTATTCCTTTCCCCCTTCGATTTTTCTGATTCTTCGATTCTCGAAAGGTGGGAATAAGGAGGGGGAAGAAGAAGGAAGAGAAGGAAGAAGAAGAGATCGGAGGGTCATAGAATCCCTCGACGTATTTCGTATTAAAATATTAAAATATTCATTCCGAGGCATAAAGGCGAGCAAATTACTCCGGTTCGCGTCCTTCATTCAAGGGTTCAGCACGAACATCTTTTTTTCTTCTTTTTTTTTTACGACTTCTACGACCTACCGCACGTTTCTATAAATGCTTCGTTTCAGAAATCCCTCTCTCTTCGGCCTCGAGTTTTTCTCTCGCGAAAACATGGCAACCGCGATAACGAGTCCCCATTTCAATCCTCAAAAATATCCGAGAAGAAGATACTTTTTCCTTTCCACCTATCCATACCTATCCTTTCCTAAAAATTGTTCAAAATTTGATGCGAGTAGTCAGATTCACGGAAAGAGGAGGAGGATTCCCTCCGGTTGTGTTTTTCACAAATGTTTTCGCACCCCACGGACGAGAGAGGATGGACGACGAGGTGCAGTCAGAGGAGGGCTCCCTAGGGTAGCCGGGTCAGAAAAGAGAGGCTAAATTATGCAAGCGAGCGAGCGAGCGTTCAGGTAGCGGCAGCGGTGCGTTTTCACGTAGCGGTTGTTCGCATTCTTCCTTCCCTTGTCCCTCCTCGGACGTGCGGGGCCCGATGGGCGGATTCGCAGTGCTCGCTTTCCTTCTTCACCCTTTGCCCTAGGCGAGGAAAACAGTGCTTGCCCCACCTGTCCACGTGATCCTAAGCAAATATATTTCAACATCGAATTCTCGATCGCTCGAAAGGAAGAAAGGAAGGAAGGAAGGAAGAAATGAAGAAAGGAAGGAAGAAAGGAAGAAAAATTGAAGTGGCGCGAAAAACGGGCGAGATCGGGTAGCAGGGCGTGTAATAAAGTTGGCAAAGAAGCGATAATGTCGGGCCCCCGCATTAAAAACGCTCGTAATTCCGAGGGAAACGGGCCTCTCGGGCGTGTAATAAACGGGCCGCGTAAATGACAGAGAGCCGGGGGAATAATTGGCATCGGCGGTGCCCACGAAATTCCTAGGTTCGGGTAGAGGGGCCCCTTAGCTATACTTAGCTCAGAGGAGAGGGAATCACGACATCGTCCCCTGCGCGCTTCTTCCTCTTTTTCCGCGATGTCAGCCGATATTACACGACGACGCCCGGGGGAAGAAGATCCGCTTCGTTCTTCTCTTCGTTCCACGATTATTTTCTCTCGAGGAGAAGAGAAGAGGAAGAGAAGGAGGAGGAGGAAAACGAGAAACGTTTCGGTTCGACCCTTGGATGTGTACGGCGGCCACAGGTGCGAAGGCGCAAAGCCAGCTGGGATAGTCGAAACGGTACGACGCGGGGAGAGATCTCGGGCGCACGATGATCTAACTCACCCCTCCCGAGGGGTGGCTGGCACGTACTGCATAATGCTGCTACCTGTGGCTCTCATTTAAATGTACTAAACCTCGTCCTCTCTCTCTCTCCCTCCCTTGTGCCATTCCATCGCCTCGCCCACAGCGAGACGGAGGCTTTTTTATTCGACCGTTTCTGCACCGATACACCACCCCCTCCGATTTTCTTTTAAGCTAATTAATCACACCCCTCCGTGAACCTGTTGCGAGACAGCGTTTCCGTTTCTATTATCTACCGTAGTAGCGAGTCGCAACGTCCACCTTCTCGTCGCCTCCTCCTCCTCCTCTGAGAAGGAGGAGGACACGAGGAGGAGGAGAGTGCGATCGGTGCCGACGCTCGTCCACCGTTGCACCTGTTGCGCTGCTATACGCGAACGCGAGAGAGTTCCGTGGGTGCGTGAGGCCATTCGATCGTCACCGAAAGCCTTTTCAACGCTCGCTCCTCTTGAAACGAAACAACGGGGCCGAGGCTATTCGGTCGTCTCGAAAATTAAAAACCTGTTGCGCTTTTTACCATTTGGAACTTGGGCGCGAAAGACAACTCCTCTAATCGAACGAAAAATGGGAAGAGGATAGAAAGAGGATGGACACGGAGAAAGGGAAGAAATGAGAGAACGAGAGGAAGAATACGTATCCCTCGTTTTATCCGAATTCCTTCCTTTTCGAGGAAAAGGAAAAATCGATGGATAGGGTTTCGGTTTCGGTTTGGAAGAAGCGTCCTCGTCGTCGGCGGTGGTTGGTGCGGCGGTCGCGGCGTGAAAACGGCAGCTAGTAGAGTAGGTTTGGATAGCGGAGCTCGGTGGCGGCGGCGGCGGTCGCTGGAAGGTTGGACTAGTTAGAGGGGCGAGGGGTAGGCCGGGGTGAGAGCAGTGGCGCCTGGGGTGCGTAGGCTGCCTCGGAGGCGCGGTCGGTCCAGGTTCCGCCCGACGGTGACGTTCGTCGACGGCCACCTTGCGGCCGGGGCCAATGGTAGCGCGAGCGGGAAGGCTGGGTGGGGATGTGCAGGAGCGTGGCGCGCATGACTCGGTTCCACCGAGCGCTCCGGGAGCCTCGGGAACCTCGAGCGAGCTGCGAGGCGAGGCAGTCAGTCGCTCTCAGCTACGACATGCATAACGCATGAGAGAGCCTGAGCGAGATCTTTCCGAGCCGTTTTCGTCTCTACTCTCTCGCGCGCGCGCGCGCACGTACACACAGTCTCCTCTCTCTCTCTCTCTCTCTCTCTCTCATCCTCTCTCGCGCCGCACACTCGCACGAGAGACATCGCGCGAGGAAAACACGCACACGCGCAACACACACGAGACACACGTACACGTACACACATACACAAGACACACACGCACACGCGCGCGCACAAGCAAGAAGACACCTCGCCGTGAATCGGCTTCATACTCTCCTCCCGTGATCGTGCTCGTCCGCGTCGTCATCGTACTCCCGTCTTTGCGGAACGACGGGATACCCTCGAGTTCTCGGTCGCGAGTGTCGTCTTCGTGATCGTGGTCGTCGTCGCCTTCGTGGTCGTGCGTTCGATGTACGCGAACGACGATACCGTGTCACGGCGTTCAGTGATCGGTCGCGAGTGATACAAGATCCTCCTGTTGCCTCGTCGGCGGATCGAGGAGCACCGGCCTCAGTTGAACGGTGGCTTCAGTTGAACGGTGTGGCAAGTTGAACGACGACGGATTCGGATGCTCGTGCGGAGCAACCGATCTTGGACGCGGTTGTGTCGAAAGCGTTGAAACGCTTGAGTGGACGGAGGGAGGATATTATTCCCTCCCCTGTGGAAGAAAAGAATACAGCGTCGTTTCGATCGTCGTCCCTCCATCGTCGATCCATCCTCCGCGGCCCTCGAAAAGTATGGACGAATCGGTCGCCGCGCGTTCCACGATGCCTCTCGCTCGGTGCGATTTGGTGCGTAGCCGCGAACGATGGACTGTGCGTTAAACCGGGATCCGATCTGAAATCGGTGCGAGATCGGTGTGATACCGATTACGGATTATACAGATCGCGGGCAAGTCGCGAACGGCGAGGGCGAGTCGGTGTTCCAAGTTGAACGGACGCTTTCTTCGCGTTCGAACGAGAGTATTCGCGGTCGAGATACACGGGAAGAGGAATAGTAAGGAAGGAAGAGGAGGAGGAGGAAGAAGAAGAGGAGGAAGAAGAGGAGGAAGAAGAGGAGGAAGAAGAAGAGGAAGAAGAGGAGGAGGCGGAGGGAGAAAGGAAAAGGAGAGAAAGCGCGAAAGTGGAAAAAGGGAGAAGTGGAAAGGAAGCGGGGAAAAGGGTGCCCTTAGAGGGCAGCCCGAAAGGGGATCGGAGATAGGAAGGAAAATCGAGGTGTGGACGAGCGGAAGTAGATGGCCGCTACCACGTACATGCCGATTAGTAGCGCAGTGTCGTCCGAGCTGGATGGTGGTTCGGGTACCGCGATCGGGATGAATATCGCTGTGGGTGGCTACTCCTCGGGCTCGCCTCGCAGCGCCGCCGACGCCGGGGAGATGAAATACATGCCGGCGCCGCAACATCATCACCATCATCATCATCATCACCAGGTGACGTCGTCCCCGTCGCCGAACGGCCTCTCGCACCCGTCGCCAGCGAGCCTCTCGTCGGCGAATCCCTGGGTGAGCCTGCAGCCGAGCAGCGACCATTGGGCGGCCTCGATGGGTATGCACCACACCAGCCACCATCCGCATCACCATCCGCACCAGGCGAACGTGGCCGGGCTGGACGTGAAACCGTCGATCGCGGCCGCGGCGGCGACCGCGGCGGCGGCGGCGGCCGCCGCCAACGATCAGTCGATGCATCACCGCGGAGGGCCTCACCAATCGCCCGGGATGGCCTCTCCGCACTCGAGTTGGCACGCGCCCGTCGTACCCTCGGCCCATTACAACCCGAGCGGTGGCGCGGCCTCGCCCACCACCCTCCAACAGTACCACGCGGCGATGAACGGGATGCTGCACCCGCACCATCCCCAACACCATCCCCAACTTCACAATCACCAGACGGGACTGCACCCGAACCTGAGGGATCCGGGCTCGCCGGTCGGCCACTCGCTTCACCCGGGCCACGCGCACGACAGGGATCAGAGCGCCGGGGAGGAGGACACCCCGACCTCGGACGACCTCGAGGCGTTCGCGAGACAGTTCAAGCAACGCCGGATCAAGCTCGGTTTCACCCAGGCGGACGTGGGCCTCGCGCTCGGCACCCTTTACGGGAACGTGTTCTCCCAGACGACGATATGCAGGTTCGAGGCCCTCCAGTTGAGCTTCAAGAACATGTGCAAGTTGAAGCCGCTTCTTCAGAAGTGGCTCGAGGAGGCGGACTCGACGACCGGCTCGCCGACGAGTATAGACAAGATAGCCGCCCAGGGGAGGAAACGGAAGAAGAGGACCTCGATCGAGGTTTCGGTGAAGGGGGCCCTCGAGCAACATTTCCACAAACAGCCGAAACCCTCCGCGCAGGAGATCACCACCCTCGCGGACAGCCTCCAGTTGGAGAAGGAGGTGGTCAGAGTGTGGTTCTGCAACCGACGGCAAAAGGAGAAGAGGATGACGCCGCCGAACACGCTCGGCGACGGGATCATAGAGGGCGTGCCGCCTGGCCACCAAAGCCAGCCTGGCCTCCACCAGGGCTACCATCCCCAGGACCACCTTCACGGATCGCCCATGGGCCACAGCCACAGCCCCCCCATGCTCAGCCCCCAGGGCCTCACCGCGCACTCGTTGGCGGCTCACTAGCGTTCGCCCGGGCCTCCCCCGTTGGGCCTTTCGATAACTTCCCAAAACTCGGCGAACAATCCGGTTTCCTCGCCACCGGAAACGCTCCCTCCGTTTTATCATCATTACCTGCAGGCGCGCACCGGCAGCTACTCGACCACCTCGTAGTAGACGTGGCCGGGAACAAGAGAGAGAAAAGAAGGAAAAGAAAGGATCACAGCCGTCGTGTTGTTTCGCTCCCTAGTCCAACCGACTACTTCGCACGTCGTCGTCGTCGTCGTCGTGATCGTGCCGCCCTTGCCGAAGGCTCTCTTTCCGTCTCTTGGACGTGCTTCTACAACGGGGATTACACAACGAGGCCGAGTCGCACGAGAGAAGCCGATCAACGGGGAGGCTCGTGGTGGCGCGATCGCGAAACGCGCCCGCCCAAAAAAAGAAAAAGATAAATAAATAAATAATAAATAAGTAAAGAAAGAAAAAACGCTCTTCGAAATTCGCCGATCGGCTACGAATCTCAGGGATACGCCAACGCCGCAGCCGCAGCCGCAGCCGCCACCGCCGCTGCCGATCATCGTCTGTTCGTCGATCGAATTCACTCTCTCTCTCTCTTTCTCTCTTCCTTTACCTTTCTCTTTACCTCTTTACCTTTAATTGATCGGCCAATTGTTCGATCGGGAAACGAAATCTCGCGGCCGCGATCGTCTTGTTTCGTTCTTGTTTCGTCGCCGAGTTATTACGATCGCGCGATATCCCGGTGTTTGAAAGTGCGTACAGTTTCTTCGGTTGCTTCGATCCGTCCGTCTGTTCGCTCCGGTTCGTTCGTTCGTTTTGTTGATTGATTGTTCGAAAGAAGAAGAAGAAGAAGAAGAAGAAGAAGAAGAAGAGGAGGAAGAAGAAGAGGAAGAAGAAGAAGAGGAGGAGGAGGAAGAGGAAGGAGGAGGATAAAGAGGGACGCTGAGCGTCTAATCGTGTAAAATTCGCCGTGATCGTCGTCGTTGTTGTTCTCGTTTACGACGGTGCAAAAAAAGAGAAAAGAGAAAATGGTGCGAGGAACGCTGTTGTGCGTACATGTTGCATCTACGAACGCGATCCCGCGTCGCGGAGACCGACGGACGGATATGTGGCTACATGCCCGAGGAAAATTAAAGGAAACGCAGCCAGAGGCGAAGAGCGGTGTACGTTCGCGTGGGATTTGTTCGAAGCAAACCCGCCGGATGATGTAACATAAGTAAATATGGACTGTAAATAATGTACTAGATAAAGCTAGTAAGTTAAGTGAGAGCGCGCATCGTCGTCTTCTTCTTCGTCGTCGTCGTCGTCGTCGTCGTCGTCGTCGTCGTCGCCGTCGTCGTCGTCGTCGTCGTCGTCGTCGTCGTCGCCATCGTCGTCGCCATCGTCGTCATCGTTATCGTCGTTGCCGCCGTCGTCGTCGTCGTCGTCGTCTTCGTCGTCGTCTTCGTCGTCGCCGTCGCCGTCGTCGTGATGGTGGTGATGGTCGTCGTGGTCATCGTCGTCATCGTCGTCATCATCGTCGTCATCGTCATCGTCATCGTCCTCCTCGTCGTCGCCGTCGCCGTCGCCGATCTCGGACGAGTCGGATATTTTCGATTCGATCGGAGACGAAGACAAAAAAAAAAAAAAAAAGAAAAGGAGGAGCGTGTGTGGAGCGAGGGAATAATGATGCGGCGCGACCAAGTACATGAGAGGAGAAAAAAAAAAAAAAAGGAAAAGAAAAAAAAAAGTAAAGACAAACCGATTGATTGCAATCCTGAGAGGGACAGGACACGCGTGAAAAGAACGGGGAAAAGAAACACGCGTGTCGGGAAAGACGTGTGCTGAGAAAGAATCCTAGCGACAACCAGACAGAACTCCCTTGCAATGAAAAAACCCCTTCTGTGTATAAAGAGTAAGTATATATATATATATAAAACACGTATAAATATATATATATATATAAATGAAAAGCTCTATATATATATATATAAATACGAGAGAAAGAAAAAAACGAATCTATGTATATAAGAGAGAAATCTATGGCGACGTCGAGAGGTTGTAGAGCTATATTATATATATATTATTGCGACATTATCGTCAAGGCATCGTTTCGCGGAGAGAGAAAAAAAAAAAAAAAAAAAAAAAGAAAAAAAAAAATTAACTATTGTAAACGACAATAGAATCTGTCATTATTATTTATCATTATTACGATGATTTTATTATTATTGCTATTATATTATTAGTCGTCTTTATTGTCATTTATTATTATTCTTTATTATTATGATTATTATTAACATCGCAATTATTATTAATGTTATCATTACCATTCCGTTGCCCGGAGGCTAATCACAGAGCGAGAATTTTTGCGTTTTTCGTCGCCGCCGGGCATTGGCCGGGCTCTTCTCTCTCTCTCTCTCTCTCTCTCTCTCTCTCTCTCTCTCTCTCACTCTCGTCTTTTTCTTTTCTTCTCTCTCTTCTCTCTCTTCTTCTCTTCTCGTTCGTTACATTTTTCGCGATTATCGTCTCTCTTTGTCTCTTAATTTTTTCCTCCCTCTCTCTCTCTCTCTCTCTCGCTCGCTCTCTGCTTCCTGCGTCTCGTCGATGTCTCGCCGCTTCCGATCGTTCGTCTCGCAACCGTAAAAAATCCGTGAACCCGTTTTTAATTTCGAGGATTCGTCCATCGATAGATCACTCCACCTTCCCCTCCACCCCCACTCCCACCTCCCTCTCTCCCTCCCCCTCTCAGCCACGTGGAATTCGATTGTTCTCGCTCTACGATTGGCCACGGGACCCGTTTATTATCGGCATTACGCGTTTCCGTGATGGAAACGGTCGGCCATACTTTTTTCATTCCATTCTCTCGAACATCGGCGCTCTCGCACATCGTACTAACGCGCATCCAAAGGATTAGAACCGATCGTTCGAACGATATCGAGTCGGGGGAAATTCGGCCACGTGGCGGCGCGGGGATTCAAGGTGAAAAGATTTCCAGAGATCCAACTCGCTCCGACTCTCGATTCCCCGATCGATAAAATCCCCCCGTTTTCCACTTTCGCTTTTCCATTCTCGGTCAAAAACACACTCGGTCCTCTTCGTTTCTCTCTCGCCTCGAGATCTCGATTCGAACGATCGAACGATCTCTCTCTTTCTCTCTCTCTCTCTCTCGTTACAAATCTCGTTGGAAATTCCAATACATCGTATCTCTCTCTCTCTCTCTCTCTCTCTCACTCTCTCTCTCTCTCTCTCTCTCTCTCTTATTTAACTGTCAAACTATTCGATCAAATCGCCCTTCGAATTCGTTTCGCTCGCCGAAATTTATCGATCGAGAATTTTCTTCGCTTTCAAAATCAAGACCGTCGAAATATCCTCCTCCACATCCCATCCGTAAACAGATTCATAGATCCGTATATAGGCGAATCATCGGTTTCGACTGTATTCAGATACACACGGAGATCCTCGAGTGTAAACTCGGCCAGTGTAAGCTCTCGGAGACAGATGTTGTCGGCCGACGGGACGATTCGATGGCGATGATCGCTCGTTAAAAGGCGTTTAAAGGCTTCGAAACGCTCGGATAGTTTCCGTGATCGGTCCCCGCTTAATGATACGTTCGATATACCTCGAATTCTCTTTTCCCCTCGTTAAAGCCTCACCGCTTCTTCTCCGCTTCTGTGCTCGTTTCTCTCGGGAGAAATGAAAAAGATGGAAAGAGAGAAAGAGAGACGGTCTCGTCTCTTCTCTCCCTTTCCTTCTCGGATTATTACCGCTTCGTATTAATAGAGAAACGTTTCGTTTCGACGTTCTTCGCGTCGAGATTAGACGCGCGTTATCGTCGACACACAACATTCTGTGATTGTTATTTGCTCAACTGTGGTACTCTCGCGTGGATTTCGATCGAGAACCGAACCTGCGAAGAGAAACGATTCCCCTGTTTTATTCGTACGAGAGAGAGAGAGAGAGAGAGAGAGAGAGAGAGAGATCGTGCGTACCTGTTCGAACCGAATCGTCACACCCTATCCGCGATTTTTTGGCGGCGAAACGAACGAGAACCGATAGAGAGATAACGCGCCTTACGATATTATCGACACAAATAGATCGCGTGGATTGGATCGAACGAATTATCATCCGGTTTTCTTTGGTTTTTGTTATTTTAACGAGACGCGCTCGGGGAGGGGGGCGATCGGGGGAGAAGAAGAGGAAGGGAAGGGAAAAACTTTTCATTTAGTGCGCGCCAACTTGTAAATTGTATAAAGGGAGTGAAAGAGAGAGAGAGAAAGAAAGAGAGAGTGCGATTTGTTGGGACGACGAAGAATCGAATGTTTGTAAGGATTCTTTCTTCTTTTTCTTTTTTTNTTTTTTTTTTTTTGTTCGTTAATTATCGTCCGTTCTCACGTTTTAATATCGCGTATCCTTTCGCGATTCAAGTCACTTGGAGGATCTAGAGTAGTCGTCGTTGCTCCCGTTTTTTCCCTCGAGAAGGAGGGAGGGAGGGAGGGAAGAATCAGGGATCGGGAGCGATTTTTATTGGCGGTCGAGTTTCGTTCGATTCGGTTGACGAGAGACCGGATACGCGACAGGATACGCGAGGGCGTTGTTGCTGCGTTCAATCGCCGCGTTTCTTTTCTTTTTTTTTTTTTTTTTTTTGTAAATAGAGAGAAACGAAGAATGGGCGAAGAAGAAGAAGAAGAAGAAGAAAAAGAAACGTATGGATGCGAAGGATTGTCTCTTGCCAACGAACGGGGGAGATCGAATCGAAGAGGGAATCGAAGATCTATAAGAGATAATTTTTCTATTTTCCTTATTTTTTTGAAGAAAGATCGAAAGATGGAAATTTCGTTCGAGAGCTCTTGGAAAGTTTCGGCTCGATCGAGCTCTTCGATTCCTTCGACCGATTTCTTCTCAACCGCCATGCGTGGAGGAAATTTTTTAAAATCGGTGCGAGGAAGGAAAGAGAGAGAGAAAGAGAGTGATAACGCGAATAATAACGGAGAGGTTGAAGGGAAGAGACGCGGGTGTCGAGGAAAGAGAGACGGGGATGCGAGAGAAAGGTGAAGAAAGGATGATATGAAACGGGAAAAAAAGGAAAGAAAGAAAATAATAAAGAGGAATGTAAAGATGAAAAATTGGAGAACGTGTTGGAAATCGCACGCGCGTTGGCGACTGGAAAAAACTCGAAGAAAAATAACGAACACGGAAATAAGAAACCGCGGAAACGAACCACGAATGCGTTTTGAGAAACACTGTACACAGCTCCTCCTTCTCCCTGTATATTATTATAATTAAACATTAATTATTATTAACGTAAAATAAAGATCTGGCGAATGGTGGTGACGTTTTGTTAGAATGGCAGAAGCTAAATTACTACTGAATTTTAATTAATAAACGACATGAAAGTAATACAACAACGTATTTCACGTTTCTTTTTTTTCTTTTTCTGCTTCGCTTGCCAAGAATCGCACCGAAACCTTCGACGGAGAATATCCTTTGGGATAGATTCTTCCACGTATCGTCCGTTGTATATTTTCGTCGATCTCGTCGAATCTTCGAACGAATCGAAGGATACGGTTTGGCCTGGAGAACTCGCGTGCCAGAGCACGGCGAGGCACTTTCGAAACGGCGGATCCACCTCGATTTCGAGGCGAGCACAATTCCTTCCCGTTTCAATCACCGGCCGCGATAATGGGACGAGTGCTCGTAACCGTTAATCATCGTGATAGGCGATGCGACAAGTGGATAATTAACCGGGAAGAAGGTTCGATCTCGCCCCTCGATTTTCATTCCTTCGAGCGACGTAACGCGAAAAATATCGGATCGATTTCCAAATTCGAATTCCTACTTCTCTCGACGATGGATATCTTCAAGCTGGAAACATCGATCTTTCCTCGCGTTTCTCCCTTTTTTTTTTTTTTTTTTTTTTCCTCCTCCTCCCCTCGAGGAAGGGACACCGAAATCGTTCCAATTACGTTAAACGCGCTCTCGTCGTCGAATCGGATCCGCGTTCCAATTAATCCGCGTCCCCCTAACCTAAGCGTTCTCGATTGCGACCACGCAGACGAAACGAGATTCCATAATTGCGCGGGCCCGCTTTTCGAACGCTTTTCCACGGAGACGCGAAACGCCACATGGTTCCAATCGGCCGCGAAATAATTGGAGGTAGATTCTGGCTGGTCCAATTTTCCCTTTCGCCTCGATTTGGAATCGTGGCGAAACAACTCCTCCGTTCCTCCAGCTTGCGCAAATACGTTTCGTCCAAGATTAATCGACGTTTAATCCACTTTGCACAGCTGGGATCTCGATGTGTCGACACTACGATAGAAATATTCCTCGAGACGCTGTTCGAGAGAGCGTTCGATAACGTTATATATATATATACGTCGTCGAGTTTAATAATCGGCTTTCGAAAATTTTCGTTCGAATTCTTTCTTAAGAGAGAAATAAATCAGAGAGAGAGAGAGAGAGAGAGAGAAAGGTGTTGCCGAAAGGTGGTGTCGCGTTACGATCTACTCGACGAGGGGCGTCTTGGTAATATTAATAACACGGGATAATCCTGACTTCTCTGCTCGAACGAGAAGAAGAAGAAGAAGAAGAAGAAGAAGAATCCCGTACGATTGGTTACGAAAGCGAGGTTAGGAAAACGAGGGATCGATCGATGAAATATCGATACTTGGAACGGCGCGACGGCGACTCGACTCGCCTCGACTCGCCTCGACTCGCCTCGACTCGACGCATTTTCTTCGTTCCGAGAAAAGGAGAATAGAATCGCGCGTGTTGGACGTGTTCCGACGGACACGAGGGAGCTTCCGGTTCCTGCGAGCGGTGCCTTCTCTCCGGGTTCGAAGCGTATCCAACGATTATTACGTGGAAGCGCGAATTGCCTTTAATTATGCACGGCGAGGCGCACGCGCGCGGCAAAGA